GTGGTGGTGGTGGTGGTCTTGGTGGTCTTGGTGGGCTTGCTCTCCTAGTGTCTTGCTCTCGGTGGTGTTGGCGGTGATCTTGGTTTGGTTGCTGTTGCTGTTGTTGTTGCTCCTGGTAATTTCGGCATGGCTGTGCCTTCCGATGTAGATCGCTTAATCATGTTCAAGTATCCTGGATGCTAGAGCGGCGTGGTGTTGGTGTTGGTGTGTGAGCGTGTGTGTGTGTGTCTGTTTGTGTGTGTGTGTGTGTGGTTGTGTGTGTGTGTGTGTCTGTGTCTCTGTGTGTGTGTGTGTCCATGCGTGCATGCGTGTGTGCGGGTGCTTGTGCGTAAGGGTGCATGTTGGTGGCCTGCCTTATGCTGCTGCTCTGGTCTCTTCCAAACTGTTTCTGTCTCTCACAAGCTGTCACCCTGTTGTGAGAGATTCTTCTTTCTGTGCAATTTGCGCAATGCAGGTGATCTCGGTCTCCGTTTCGTGCTTTGGGCAGCAGTCTCCGAGTTTCTGGCAGGTAGCAAACCTTGCCATCTGTCCTCGTCGCAGAAAGCTCTTGACTGCTGCAGGATGTCTTCAATCTGCTTGCACCATGTATTTAGGGTCCGTTAGCTTGACTCGACGTCCTTAGTGTGTAGGGACACACCCCTACATCCTAAGTCATACTCATACACCCTGAAGTTCCTCAGCATTGACTTTTCAGGATGATCTCGCATTCTGAGAACGGAAACCATTGTAGTGGGTTAGTAGTAGTAGTAGTAGTAGTAGTAGTAGTCGTCGACGTCGTCGTCGTCGTCGTCGTCGTCGCAGTCGTGGTCGGGGCAGTGGCAGTGGTAGTGTAGTGGCAGCAAGAGTTTGAGTAGCGCAGACCAGGTCAAGGTTTAGGAGCAGCAGCAGCAGCAGCAGGAGCAGCAGCAGCAGCACCGGTGCCCCGACGGCTACCGACACTAGCACCAGCCTTAGCATCACTCAAGGCAATATCACGAGCAGGCAAACACGCCGCAGCTAGCAGCACACAATGTTCATCCTCGTCACAGTCAAAGCTGCAAAGGTGCTCGTCCATGTTTGGACTTTTATACATCATTTCCTTGTCCAAGTGCGCTCGCCAACTGATCTGGCTGCTCGGATAGATTGCTTGCTTGGGTTTCCAAGATGTGTTTGTTTGGCGGAATGTTCATCTGAGGTAGCATGGACTTGTATTAGGAGGACAGAGAAGTCTCCTGGAAGTGTCCTTTCCGGTGTATTCGCAAAAGACCCCTGCTTCATACGCTGTGGGACCCGGGGGTTGCCGACTTTGGGGTTTACAGTGACTACAGACTGAAATATGTAGGCCACGTACCGGAGCTTCTCCGAGAGGATAGGAAGACCTGAATGCTTCTTTGCGTGGGCTAGCAGCTAAGTTCAGGGCTATGGCCAAGAGCTGCATGAACTTGAAGTGTTTGTTGCTGTGTTTTTGGTGCCTGGTTGGCGACACCTCCCTCCGACCGCAAATGCACGGGCCCGACAATGTGTCCTGATGCACACCACGAGTAACAAGGCTCATCCGCTTGTCGTTCGCAAGATCTTTCAAAAAGGGATTCAGAGGCACCACCTGCCCGCGACATGTTGACTTAAGTCCGGGGCCCGATTGCAAGTCCTTCGGGGTGTACTATGGCAGGTTGATGTAAGGCTCTTGAGCGAATACAATAGAATCTCAAGAGAGGTTCCCCTACATACTCCCTTCCTCTCGAAGGCTTGCATTGATTACGACGGCGCTCTGCTCCGCGGGCGTGAGTGCCTGGTATGGCTACTGCTGCCCGCCCTTGATGAACTGCTGGTACTGGGCAGCTGTATCATTGTGTCAAGCATCGAGCATGACAGCAGCAAGATGCCCAGGGCAGACAGAACCCGGTAATAAGAGGAATCCGAAGGCCTCAACCGAAGTGACGAGGGCAAGGTCTAGAACTCGTTATGCTGGGATGAACACGGCTTTGCTGATGCTTTGTCAACAACCCTTTGCACGGAATCGTTGTACATCCTTCTACTACACCTTCTGATACAGATATGTTCACACATGTGTACAGATGGTCATGTACATGTATTTTTCAAAGGCATAGGTATATATATATATGTATATATACATATGTATGTCTGTCTGTCTGTCTGTCTGTCTGTCTGTATGTATGTATGTATGTATGTATGTATGTATGTATGTATGTATGTATATATATACACTTATATTTGTAAAATCATAGGCAGTTTACAGGCTGAAGCTCCCACTCCGGCGCACCCGAGTGACAGAGCAGCCAAGGCTTCAAGACTGGCATGTGCAAGAAATACACAGGCACGGGAAGCTCTGGGAATGCGTGGCTTTAGGGTTTAGGGGTTTAGGGTTTAGGGTTTAGGGTTTAGGGTTTAGGGGTTTAGGGTTTAGGGTTTAGGGGTTTAGGGTTTAGGGATTTTTAGGGTTAAGACTTGCGTGTTCGGGCTTCCTTGGGGGTGTCGAGCGACTCCCAAACAGTACATTTCCTCAAGAAATCTCCCACACGGAACGGGAAGAACCTCCGCAAAAACCAAGCCACCGCATTGTTCGTCTCATCCTTGTCATTGGCATTGCCGAGGTTGAGCTATACAATAGGATACTTTGCAGAACAGAAGGAAACATGGAAGATGGCACATGCCTGAACATACGACATGTTCACTATTTGGGACATCAAATCACACCAGCTTCTGGTTCAGATTGAACTCGTTCTATCTCGTTCTGGAAGACCATTGCCTGCCATTGCATTAGAAGTTACACGTCTATGACGCTACTATCACGAGCAAATAAATCAAACAGCTCATGCAAGCCGTGCAGAAAAGCGGAACGTCTTTGAGCCTCCTGGCTTACTGCGCAAGCGATTCTACTTAATGCACATATGCAAACAGAGCGAGCACGAAAGCATCGTCGAGACAGCTAGTCGCAGCTAGTCAATTAATGCTCAGCTAGGAGGACCCACACCCGGACACTAGAAAATAAGGCTAGTCTCCGAACCCCTTAACTTGATTCTGTTGATGGAAAGAAAGGGTGGATTGCTGGCTAAGCAAGATCCATTGCGTGAAGTATCATATCAGCTGTATTTTGCACAGACTTCCCACACGGAAAAGAGCACGGGGACCCGGGCAGGACTGGTAGTTCGAATGTGTCTTGAGTCCTCTGCCCCTAAGCCCTGTGCCAGCGCAGACAGGCAATATTATTGCATCTCGTGGTAAGCCGTATTCTTACAGCCAACCCACCCCCTCCTGTCAACAGAGACACAAGGTTTTGGCAAACAACTTAGCAACACCATCATCAGTGTTAGTATTAGCATCCATGGCTCTGGTGATGCCTGCTCCAGCGATGGTCTTTTCTCGCCACAAATTACTCGAGCTCTTGCCCCGCATGTCGAGCAACAGCCGGCAGAGCGATGTAATCGCAAGGGGGATAAGCGGGTCCCAAAGGCACAACGAACAGGAACAAGGAAATACCGTCATGACAACGATATCGCTAATGAGAGACTAGCACTGGTCAACATACGACTTTGTTGCTGGCTCAGTGCTCCTTGAAGTCCTTCCCCACGTTCCAGACTTCATCTACACACCTGTTTAAATAAACCCGCAAAGCTTCTGGAGCGGGTTCTAGAGGCCTTTGATCGACTGTGTAGAAATGTGACATGAACTTCCAACGGAGCAAAACACGAAGATGGGCCCGTCCCGTCCAAGCCGTGAATATGACGCACCATGATACCCTGAATTAGCAAAATTTTCCATCCTATGCCTGGAGAGGAAACGGTGAGGAAGATCCCATCGACCTGCTCCGATGTGTGCCTCGCTGTTGACTAACGAAAGCGCGTTGGAGCTTCGGGTGCTTATGGGGCATCTCCTGAGGAGACGGATCTCAAAATCAATCTGGGCTGCCCTGCACACTTGCCCACACAGGAATTCTGCCTACCTATATCATGGATGCTACACTATCCTTGGCGCAAGGATCTTCGAAACCATGCAGCTATGCCAAACTTACTTCGGCTCACGTGTTCAATTCTCGGGCGAGCTTCGTGAGTGCGTGATATCTCCATAGTGACGGCATTCCACAATTCGTTGGGAAATGAGAGTTTCCAGCACATGTGTCATGCATAGCTCGTAATGCTTCGTCTTTCTTAGTGAGAACGACAACAGCAGAAACAAGACGAAGAACGTCCAGCATCGGGTGCCAAGTACGAACAGAACCTTGCAGCTCGACACGCCCTTGATTCGACTTCCGATCTGCAGGTGGAAATTCCAATCGCGACACAGTTCCGCCACCCTGAAGTCCTAAACCCGGAAACCCTGATCCCGAAGCCGCATCGCAAGTCGTAAGCTACCCACAGACACAGACACGCCGGACTAGAGGTCGGGACCCCATACAACGATATCCCCCGAAACCCCGAACCCTGAACAGTTCTCTGCGAAAGGGGCCCCATTGCACTTGAAAAGCTTAAGGTTGCATTTGGCATAGTGGCCCTTCTGACCTTGCAGACTATCTGTGCCTTGGCCTGGCGGACTACCCTCGACCGTAGTTGGGCTTTAAAGGGCTAGGTAAGCTACTTTAAGTATATATCTATATATATATATGCATGCATGCATGCATGCATGCATGCATGCATGCATGCATGCATGCATGCATGTATGTATGTATGTATGTATGTATGTATGTATGTATGTATATATATATATATAGACCTTAGCCTCGTAAATGCTTTGGCAGAGAGCGTTCTGTTGCCCCATAGGCTCCCCTAACTCCGCATCATGGGCCTTGCTGTTCTGCAGCCGGAAAAGCAGGGCCAAGGCCGAGGAAACCGTCTCCGCTCATGTCCGGTTTAGGGTTTCGGGTTACACTTCGAAAAACAAGCAGCTGTGAGCAAAAGGTCGAAAGAATGCCGTATCTGGGGCTCGACAACTTGGCATAGAAGCTTCTCGCAACTGTAGATGCCGGGCATTCTGCCTCGGTAGTCAGACGTTGACTCGGCATCTCCCTTGTCCTCGTCATAAACGTCATGATCATCATCACCGCTGCCAACATCACCAACCGCGAAAACATCATCATTGTCGCAAAATCTGCGATTATCATGGGTTGCCCTCCTCTTTCCTTCTGCTTCACACTTCACTCCTGCTTGCTCGCACCGTGAACTGTCAGAGTCATCATCGTCAGCCAGAGTATCATCGAGGATTCGGTTTCGTAGTCCGGATCACGCCGGGAATCCGGGCAACTCGGGGCTTCCGAATGTGCCCTCCAGAGCTCTCAACACGTCGAGGCCAGAGGTGTTGCTGATTCTTGGCCGAACAAGGATCTCGAGTTCCAACATCTTAGCCTGAAGAAGGGTGCTAGTGTCACAAGACTGAAACTACTGCCTGAGCCTACAATACACGATAATGCCTTGATGCTTCATGGTTTGCTACTGGGCTATGACATGTGGAATAGGTTTTGTATTGCAATCGTGCAACGTCAGGTAGCCTCGGACGGAAGCTGGACACGGTGGGGCGAATCCTCGAGATGTCATGCAGGCCAGGAAGCTCTCTCGCTTGCTTCCGGGACATGCTTTTGGAGGTCGTCGGTGTAAGCCTACACCCGTGTCACGTGGAAGCACAAACTGACTTCGGCTTCACTTGCACCGTCCTGAAAGACATGCCACATGTCTTGCAAAAACCTTGCTGACGGGAAGAGGGTGTGAAGCACTTTCCGGAAGTGGGCTTGGGCGCTGCTGGGGCAGGCCAGGCCAGGGGCAGGGCAGGGCAGG